TCTCGCTGATTTGGTGGAACAAAAGGCACTTTCCGTCCGTCTATCGCCACCACCACGTTATCGTTTTCGACGTTCAACCTGTCCCAGATCTTGAGGAGTTCCTCCACCTCCTCCGATGTAGCCTCCGGTTTGGTGCCAGCCCGTAAGTGAGAGCACAACACATTCACGAATTCATCTGTCCTTTGATCTCCCAGCAGGTTCCTCTCCCCCATCGCGATCGCACGCACCGGTATGGCATTGTCTGGCATGATGTCGTCCAAACACGGGCGTGACAACATATCTGGCAATACATTTTGCGTTCCATCCACGTGCTCAATGGTGAAGTTGAATTCCTGCAGTCGGTAGGCCCATCGCGCAAGCCGTCCCCGCGGGTCTTTCGCCGTCATCAACCACGAAAGCGGTTTGTGGTCAGTGACGACCCGGAATTCATTCGCCAGTAAGTAATTTCTCCACTTCTCTAACGCCCACACGATGGCCAAGCATTCTTTCTCCGTTGTTGAATACTTCTGTTCTGCCCCCGTCAGCACTCTGCTCGCGTACTCCACCACCCCAGCCGGTTGAGACAAAACCGCACCGATGGCCACGTTGCTTGCGTCGACAGCCACAGTGAACCTCTCACCAGGATTGGGTAGCCGTAGACATGTCGGGGCTTCTGCGATGCCTGCCTTTAGATGGTCAAAGGCCTGATCCGCTTCAGCTGTCCACACGAAGGGCACGTCCTTGCGAAGCAGCTTCAACAACGGGCTGACCTTCTCTGCGAACTGGGGCACAAACTTTGAATCATATGCCACCACTCCCAAGAACGAACGGAGCTGACGCTTGGATTTTGGTTTTGCGAAGCACTTGATCGTCTCGCGTTTCTCCGGAAGTGGATGGACTTGACCATTGCCTACGATATGACCCAAGCATACAATTGACTTTTGGGCAATCTGCGACTTTTTACGACTGAGTTTCAGACCAGCTTCATCTAGCCTCTGCAGTACTGCTCCAAGTCTGGTCACATGTTCCTGTTCCGTCTCAGAGAAGACGATGATATCATCACCGTACACAACCACGCCTTGCAGGTTCGCGAGGACCATCAGCAACAAACGCCTGAATGTAGCCGGGGCGTTGCACAATCCAAACGGCATTCTCAAAAACTCATACTGCTGGCCATTGACACTGAAAGCCGTCTTGTGGCGATCTTCTTCTGCGATCGGCAGTTGCCAATATCCCGAGCGGAGATCAATCAGAGATATCTGCTTCGCACTGTGAAGGCTTGAGAAAATTTCTTCCATCTGAGGCATCGGGAATGCATCCTTCACCGTCACCCTGTTTAGTTCTCTGAAATCGATGCAAAATCGATAGGTTCCGTCAGCCTTCTTCGTCAATAGCACGGGTGATGAATACGGGCTGTGCGTTCGCCTGATGATTCCTTTCGATTCCATCTCGGTCACCTGCTTCTGTATCTCCACCAGGGTGTTCTGTGGAATTCGTCTGAAGATTGGCTTGCATTGTCCTCCTGGGATCAACGGTATTCGGTGTTCAACCCAATTGCAAAATCCGTAATCATCTTCCGCGTCTGTGAATAAGTGGGCATACCTGCTCAGTACGTTGCGTATTGCACGGTTCTGACAATCAGGCACGGCTTTGAGGGCACCAACCCGGTCGGTTCTCCCCTTGTTTATCTCGATCGTCTCGTTAGCCACGAGCACCACATCGTTTTTCAGGTCAATTGTGACACCGAGCCGTTTCAGGATGTCGGTTCCGATGATGGTTTCGGTTGTCTCCTCCACGATGAACATGTCATGGCTGATGAGCGTTTCTCCTATCCTGATTCGTAACCGCTGCGTGCCCGTCACTTTTAAAGAATGCCCGCCGACCGTCTGCATCGTGATTGAAGATGGGTTTACTGGAACCCCATTGAATCTCTTCGTAATTGACACTGCCGCTCCTGTGTCTACTATGGCTCGGACAGACACACCTTCTATAGTTACCTGGAGGACTGGTACTCGCCACCGACTCGGCATGGATAGAGAGAAACAATGGGGCACATTGACGTTGGTGCAGAATCTCGCCACATGACCATTCTGGTTGCATCGGAAACAGCGGCGACCGTTCCGGATTACCCGTACATTTCGTTGTGAAGTGGTGCTTGAAGACTCTATCGACAACAGCTGCTCCACCATTTCGGATAGGCGATTTACTTTCTGTTCCAACTCAGCATGCTGGATGCTTCTCACTGTCACTCGTTCCGACAAATTCTGGGCGACCGTCACCAGATCCAACGCTTTGCTGTCTCCCACCAGCGACGCCAATTTCACCTGATCATGGAGTGGACCGGGCAGACTTCGGATAAACTGCTGTTTCAGTAGGCGCTCTCTTGCTTTGCCCTCTAACTCGGGGAGCCCAATCGTTAGATGTCTGTCCAGCTGCTGGAAAAACACCATCAAATCCTCCTGTTCGTCCCATCTGGCTGCGTGAAATCGTTGCAGTGCTCGTTCTCTCTCCAGATCCTTCCCAAATTCTGCACACAAGACAGCCCTCATCTCAGCGAACGAACAACCGGGTTTGGCCTTTCGAGTGAGCAAATACACCGCCTTCGCTCGTCCACTCAACCGTGTGCCCAAAGCAATTAGCAAATTTGCATCCCCCCTCACACCCGCGCAAGCCGCAATTCCGTCGAACTCATCGAGCCACGCCTCCACGTCACCGGCCGCAAATTGCTCCAACCGGGTCAACTCCATCGCGATTGGTCACGGCACCAATGTAGCGAGAACGACAAGACAGGGGGGGTAGACGTTTATTGCACACCGAAAATGGGCACATGAGGGTCTCGCGCGCGCCCTCGAATATCGACTAGATTTCCGTCCCACCACGCAACACAGGTACGGATGTTAGAGGCGAGCCAGTCCTTTCGCCTCGGGAGCTCTGACTTGGAAGATCCGCCTTCCTGTTTTCGCCTCGATCTCCGCTTCTCTGCACCCGATTTGGATCGGCCAGGAGTCGTTCGAGAGCTCTCGACTTGCTTGTTCTGGGCTGTGTCAATCGGCTCGGCCTCGGTCCTGTGGGCTGCGCTAGCGGCGTATTTGTCTGATTTACTGCACTGTCCACATGTTCCCGCTCCGTAGTTCCGGGCCCAGGCTCGTCGCTAGCCGTCTTTCGCGATCCGCTCTCAGCTAGCTCCGAAGAGCTCCCCAGAGCCCTTCTTGGAAGCGGCCCCTCTACACTATGGCTTACCTAAAGTACACAAAAGCGGAATGCCGCTTCGCCCCATTGTGTCGTTATCTGGAGCACCAAATTACAGGCTTGCAAAGGAGCTCTGGAGAAGGTTAAAACACTTAATCGCGCGATCGGAACACTCGATCAACTCGGCAGAACAGTTCCTTGAGAAACTTAAGACCGCAACCATTGAACGAGACGAAATGATGGTGTCTTTCCATGTTACCGCCCTGTTCACTTCAATCGACATTGGCTTGGCAAAACAAACAATGACGCGCCTGCTCGAGGAGCACACGTCGTCTGATACAAACAGTGGACCCGAACCCAAACAGATGATGGAGTTATTGGAATTCTGTCTAACAACACATTCCACTTTCAGTGACCATATTTATGAACAAATAAGAGGTACACCAATGGAATCGCCGATCTCTGGTCTAATAGCCGAGGAGCGATGCAGGCGCTGGAACAAATAGCACTTCCGATCGCGTGACCAAAACTTTGGGTACGGTACGTAGACGACACATTCGTCATCCTCAAACGTTCCAAACTGGAGGAAACACACGAACTAATCAACAGTGTGTTCGATGGCATCCAATTCACCAGGGAGGAGGAGAACAACGAACAGTTACCATTCTTAGACGTTCTCATACGACAGACTGGTGCTGAACGATTGGAAACAACAGTCCACCGAAAATCTACGCGTACGGACCAGATCCTCAACTACGGCAGCAATCATCCGGCAGCCCACAAACGCAGCTGCGTGCAAACCCTTTTCAAACGAGCACGAACTCACTGTAGCACACCGCAGCTGAGACGGGCGGAGGAAGATCATCTCTTCAACCTGTTCAAGCGGAACTCGTATCCAAAAGGCTTCATTCTACGCTGCCTCGCATCACAAAAGGTTACTCAACACGACAAATGTACCAGCTGAAAAGAGAACAACACTTCCCTATATCAACGGTATCTCTGAAATGGCAGCGAGGCTTTTATTGCCTTTTGGAATTAAAGTTGCACACCAGCCAACGGAAACCATTCGCAGTAAACTCTTCAAGGTGAAAGATAAACTTAGCAAAGAAGAAGAACCTGGCGTGATTTATAAGATCTGCTGTCGGAACTGCGACAAGTACTACGTGGGACAGACTGGGAGAACGCTTGGCACAAGGCTACACGAACACAGCCTAGCCATACGTCGCCACGATCAGAACTCCCTGATGTCAGTGCACATGGATGCTGAGGACCATCAATTCGACATAGAGCATACCAGTATCGTCGGAAGGGCTAAAAGCCGGCAAGCACGTGAGTTCATTGAAGCCTGGCATTCAAAGCAGAACTCGATCAATAAGCACTTAGACCTTGAAGTCGCTTACGAGGCACTACGAACCAGGCCCCTGAAATCGCACTGATGATGTTGCCTAGTCAGGCAACGAAACGTCTGCACAATAATCACTCAGCTCGGAGAACCGCTCAAAATCCGCAAAAATCACAAATCCTATACACTTGACATAACGAATAAAGTGTGAATGCAACACGATTACCGGCAGTGTGGATTTATCGCATCATGCTTACGAAAATCCTGCTTAACGCATTGACATTTACACTGCAAATGATGGAAGTCATATTGAAGATGTTATTTGAATAAAAAGTTGCATTTTTACCTATGTGTCCAGATTTTACGGACACTGTAGATATAACTTCCATACAGCGAACAAGTGTTTGAGCGTCACTTCGCATTTGTGAGAGGCAATTACAACATTTGTCATTGTAAAACGTGCGGCCCTCCGGCAGAAAGAACAACAGGTGGCGGCGACACGAAAATCTTTATTGGCGAGAATTGCTTTCTTTTTATATCAGATATGACCATTTTCTGCGCCCGTTTCTATTCGGCTACTACACTTTCATGCATTTGTCTCCATTTGCCAGTGTCCTTTGATCCTGGGCGTTTCGCCTCCAATCGTTCGGTCGTAATTCGTCCATGGCATTTGCTACAATTGGTTCCCCATGCTGTGTCTTGACGATCAAAAACCAATCGGCCGATGGGTTTCGGTTCAGTGCCTGCTCTTTCTGGCCAATGGACGGTCGTTCGCGTACCGGATTGACGTGACGCTGATTGGTCAGGCGTCTGATGCAATTCCTCGATCCCCTTAACGTCGCTTACTCGTTTGCGCGCCGTCTCGGGTTTTGATTGGATATTCGGACCACGCTTGTTTGCCAGACGCTTTGCCGAGCCGTTGGTCTGTTCGTCCGATCGGTAGCTTGTGTGCGCCACTGGTTGGCGGTGCCGCGAACTGATTGCGATCTCCGATTGTGTTGCCGATTGGTGGAAACCAGTTCGCGCTGTTGGCTGGCGGTTTGGCACGTACGCTACCATCACATCCTTCCTTTTTTCGTTTTTTTGTAGTCCGATTACGTAAGCGCTGTATCGCCTTCCACTGCGTGTAGTCTTGTGGTCGTGTGCTGCCGTATCCACCGAAATGTCCGGCTGCGTTGGCTGCTTCGCACGATGCCGTGCTTGTTCACCACGTTGTCTCCTTAACTGCACCCGGTTGCGTCGAAATAGACTATCCCCAACTCTTACGTCGTAGCTTCGTTCGCCTTTGAGACCTTCTACTCGCCCTCTCCTCCAAGACCCGTTAGCTCCCGGTGTCGGCGCGACCCAGACCTCGTCTCCGGGCAACAGGCGTGGAAGCTGCTTCGTTCCGCGATCGTAATATTTCTTTTGTCGAAGCATGCGCTCACGCAAGCGCTCATACATCAAGCTCTGCGATGGTATTTCAGGCTGCAGCAGAGTATTGGCGATCGGCAACAGGGTTCTTGTCCTACGGCCAAACAGACGTTGCGCTGGACTGCATCCAATTTCGGCAGATGGCATGTTCCTTCGTTCTAACAACATGATGTAAGGATCTTCTTTGGTCTCCTTGGCTTTGGTGAGTAACTTCTTTGCTTCCTTCACGGCTGACTCAGCTTTTCCATTTGACTGACTGTGGTAAGGGCTGGTTAAACGATGAAGGAAATCCCACTTTTCGCTGAAACTCCGAAATTCGGCGCTGTTGAATTGGGGGCCATTGTCGGACACTACCTCTTCCGGTATCCCATGTCGCGCAAACTGCGATCGTAGCTTGTTTATCACGGCCTGTGTGCTAGTAGACGTGAGAGCATCAATCTCGAAATAGTCGCTAAAGTAATCGACAGCGATCAGGTAATTCTTTCCGTCATGTGCAAAGATGTCTAGGGCGACTTTCTGCCACGGCCTTTCCGGGACCTCACGAAGCATCATAGGCTCCTTCGGCTGGCGGACATCATGTGCTCGACAGGCTAAGCAGTTTGAAACATGATCCCGTATCTGACTAGTCATTCCAGGCCAAAACATTAGCTCTCGAGCTCTCGCCACGCAAGCATTGACTCCTGAATGACTTCCGTGTATCAGCTCCAGCATGGGTCGTTGCATTGCCTTTGGAACGAGTATACGGTTGCCTTTGAAGATTAGCCCATCCTGTGTGACAAGTTCATCCCGAAAGTTAAAGAAGGGAGTCAACTCCTTTGGCAGCTTGTTTTTACTATCGGGCCACCCTTTCAGTATCGTTTCCTTGAGCCGATTACACAGCTCGTCTGCTTCCGTGTGGCGTAGTAGTTGCTGGAAACGCTCCTCTGTGACGGCCAATAGCTGAGTGACATGGACAATGTCTTGGTCTTCTTGCGTTGCGGTCACATCGGAAAGATATGCCCTAGACAGTGTGTCTGCAATGTACATCCTCGACCCCGGTTGGTAGACGATGTCTAGGTCGTACTTCTGGAGCCGAATGAGCATTCGTTGTAAGCGGCGTGGGACGACGTGCAGTGGTTTATTGGCTATTGATACCAGAGGCTTGTGATCGGTAAATACAGTGGTCCGGCGACCAAAAGTGTAATCGTTGAAACGCTCTATGGCATAAACCAATGCTAGCATCTCCTTTTCAATCTGTGCATAACGGCGCTCGGATTCCGTTAGTGTCCGACTGCGAAAATCGATGGGCTTCCCGTTCTGCATTAGCACGGCACCGATACCGAATTGGCTGCTGTCACACTGGATTTCAAGGGGAAGTGACGGATCGTAATACGCTAGGACAGGGGCGCACGCGATCAGTTGTTTGATGTTCTGGAAAGCCTCCTCCTGTTCTGTGTTCCACTGCCAGCTCTCGCCCTTATGTGTAAGTTTTCGGATAGGAACCATTACTTCGGCTAGTCGTGGAAGGAAGCGGCTGAGGTAATTCACCATCCCGTTTAGTCTGCTCACGGCTTTAACATCTGTCGGAGGTGGCATCTCTTTTATGGCTCTAACTTTCTCCGGATCTGGCTTTAGACCTTCTGCGCTCAAAACATGTCCGTGGAACACCAGCTCTGTTTTTCGTAACTCAATTTTCTCACGTTTCAATCTGATATTCTTGTCTTTACAGCGTTCTAGAAATCTGCTCAGGTTACGGTCGTGCTCTTCCAGAGTCGCCCCAAAAACCACTACATCGTCTGCTACACAAATAGCTCCGGGTAGATCGTCTAGGGCCTGCATTAATCGTTTCTGAAAAATTTCACTGGACACTTTCAAACCGAATGGTAAGCGCAACCACCGAAACCGTCCAAATGGCGTTCCGAACGTGGTTAAATAACTGGACTCTTCGTCAAGCTGGACGTGCCAGAAAGCGGAAGCGAGGTCGACCTTCGTGAACAATCTGGCCTTGGACAACTCGGGTAAGACGTCATCTAGCGTTGGTAGTGTAAAATACTCTCTCCTGAGTGCGGCGTTGAGCGGCTTAGGGTCGATGCACACACGCAAATCGCCTGACTTCTTGGTGATTATCGCGACTTGACTGACCCAATCGGTTGGCTCATCGACCTTGGCAATCACACCTAAACTGATCAAACGCTGCAACTCGTCTAAGAACTTCTCACGCAAAGCGATAGGTACTTTTCTCGCTGGTAGTGCTACTGGTCTAGCGGACTCGTTTAACGACAGGTGAGCTACGCCTTGGAATTTTCCCACGGTACCATCAAACACACTGGGATAGTTGTCTACGATCTCTGTACCGACTTCGCACGAGTGAACAAAACGATCATGATTAAAAGAAACAAAACCCAAACTCTGAATGGAATCAAGGCCCAGGATGGGCATAAAATCTCCTGATACCAGGAGAAAATCAAGTAAATGCTCGGAGCCATCCTTCGGGTTTATGGCCTTCATGGTAACACAGCCCTTCGGTTGTAACTTTGATCCGTTCCACATTCTGAGCTGTGTCTGTATTTGGCGGTATTCTGCATCGGGACAGTATTTGTGAGGAAGTATGTTCACGCTTGCTCCTGAATCCAATTGGAATCGCACCGGACGCCCTTGAATAAGCAACGTTGCGAATACACAGACTGGTCTCTCACGTCCTGTCATGTTGTTAATAGCCAGTTCCTGCGGCTCTTCCTGATCGTCCTGCCCGACTGAGTCGACTTTGGTTGCCTGACAACAACGTGCAAAGTGGTTCTTCTTCGCACACTTCATACAGGTTCGGCCCCATGCTGGACAATCCTCTTTGCGCCTTGGGTGTGAGCGGCCGCAAAACTGGCATTTGGGTTGATTCGCGCTCGATGACTTCGATACAATTTCTCGGCCTCGGGATACTGCAAACAGATCCGTCGTGGACTCCATCTTGAGCTGCTGAAACTGTTGAGCCGTCCTTGATTCGCTAAAACAGATATCGATGCAATGTTCCAGAGACAGGTTTCGCTGTCGCAAAAGGCGTCTGGAAAGTTCCTCATTCTTTATGCCAATTATAATTCGATCGCGGATCAGCGAATCTCGTAAACAGGTGCAAAAATTGCAATCCCGCGCCAGAATTTTCAGCTCCGTGATGTATGCGTCGATTGATTCACCCGGCAGGCGATTTCGGCTGAAAAACAGATACCTTTGGTAAGTTTCGTTTGTGTAACCTTCGCAAAACTCGCCGAATCTGCGTATTACTTCATCCAGCTCCATCTCCTGAGTTCCATCGCTGAGATCCAACGTTTGCAGCGTCCGCCTGGCTTCGTCTCCAATGGCATGCCTGAACATCGCCAGTTGATAGGCCATTGGCTGAGAATCCAACTGAGTCAGTGTTACAAAGTCTAGCCACTTCGCCTTCCATATTCTCCAATTCTCCGGCAACGAACTCTCGGTCATTTGCAACGGAGCTGGCAGCGGAATCGTTGGTTGTCCACCAAACGCATGCGGGGTTCGGCGTGTCTTCTTGTCCTCTGTCGCCATGTAAAACGTGCGGCCCTCCGGCAGAAAGAACAACAGGTGGCGGCGACACGAAAATCTTTATTGGCGAGAATTGCTTTCTTTTTATATCAGATATGACCATTTTCTGCGCCCGTTTCTATTCGGCTACTACACTTTCATGCATTTGTCTCCATTTGCCAGTGTCCTTTGATCCTGGGCGTTTCGCCTCCAATCGTTCGGTCGTAATTCGTCCATGGCATTTGCTACAATTGGTTCCCCATGCTGTGTCTTGACGATCAAAAACCAATCGGCCGATGGGTTTCGGTTCAGTGCCTGCTCTTTCTGGCCAATGGACGGTCGTTCGCGTACCGGATTGACGTGACGCTGATTGGTCAGGCGTCTGATGCAATTCCTCGATCCCCTTAACGTCGCTTACTCGTTTGCGCGCCGTCTCGGGTTTTGATTGGATATTCGGACCACGCTTGTTTGCCAGACGCTTTGCCGAGCCGTTGGTCTGTTCGTCCGATCGGTAGCTTGTGTGCGCCACTGGTTGGCGGTGCCGCGAACTGATTGCGATCTCCGATTGTGTTGCCGATTGGTGGAAACCAGTTCGCGCTGTTGGCTGGCGGTTTGGCACGTACGCTACCATCACAGTCATCAGTTAAAAACATTCACCGCACTTTTCATAAGGATTCAAGTGAGAGAGATAGTCCTGACTGCGTTGCACCACTTTTTGGTTATCTGAGACTGAGACTGTATTTAAGGGCAAGTAGAAAGGTTTCTGTACAACTCTATCGAATTACAAAAAATCAAAAATATTTAGTTGTGAATCATCAGCAGTTGTGTCTGGTCCGTTAATCGTTTATCCTTGTTCGGTTAGGATTTTGTACTAGTGTCATTATTTCCGGGCATACAATGTCTTCTTTTGGCATTGTATGTGCATCGTTGCACAAAAGCACAGTTTTCCGAAATAATCGTCGATACGAGTTTTAAAACACTCCACAGAATCGGCCTCTATTAATCCTTCTGGTAGTGTATTCCATAAGTTTACTATTCTTCGTTCGATACAAAGCTGATGTGATACTTTTTTCATGCAGGGGACCCTGAGTTTGTAACGGTGTCCTCGGGTGTTACAGCGTTCCCGCAGGTGAAATCTTGGCCGCAGTATGGGGAAGTGATTTAAGTGTAGTACTCCATGGGTCATAATAAGGTCAATTCTTACTTGGCGATAGGATAGTGTGTAGAGTCCGAGCCTTTCACAACGTTTTTCATACGGAAGCTTTTGTAGACTAGGTATCATTCTAGTTGCGATATGCTGTATTTTCTCCAGATTTTCACTTTCCCAGCACAGATTTGTTAGTATACAACTGAACACCAACCATTTTACCTTCAACTACATCATTTCCGTAGATAAAAGTGAAGGGCGGAGGACACTGCACTGCTTGACACAGCTAGTGACCGCTTTACGTTTTGGGAAGTTTCCAATGTATAAGCTCGTTGTCACTCAGAAGATATGGTGATAACCAATTAAGCAGTGGATCTCAGATACCATTAGCTTTGTCTTGCTGAATAATGTCTGGTTATGCACTGTCGAGCTACTTGTGGATTCTGTGGTTCTCCATCACATGTTTCACCACGACATGGGTCATTGTGCCAACCCGTTCTCCTTGGACTATTGCGGCTTCAAACCAGTGTGTGAAGTACTCAGTCATCGTGAGTATGCATTGATTACGTCTCATTAAAAGGAATGGCCTCATCACGACATTTAACCACAACTCACCATTCTCGGACACTGGACTCGAGAGAACAAGTTTGGTGTTCTCCGACGCTCACCTTTGGAGAGCGAACACTACTGACAGGACGGCATTTATATACCGAATCCTTTTCATTTCAGGCCAGCAATATCGTTGCCACAATGTCGCGTGTGCTGGTGCATCCACCCGGTGCCATTTCGCGACAAGCAATTACCAACATCCTTCTCAAGTTCGGTGGGATCACCGTCACCAGGGTAGGGTCTTTTCTTTGAGCCCACATCCGAACTCCGGCTTCGTTGAATTGTAGCTTTCCGAACTCCTCGCGAACAACCTTAATTGTTTGTCTTCGTTTTTGTTTGCCGCCGCTTACTTTATTACTCGTGCTGTTATGAACCTGTTCAGGAGTCCTGCATTACGTTGCTCAGCCACCAAGATTCTCGCGCCCTGTTGCAACACTAAACCACTGACACCGAAAGCAACGCTCAGCAAGCTGTCCCTATTGTTCATACTTGAAAACAAATACACAGTTCCTGTAGCTCTCACTGTTATATAGTTTATTATGAAGCAATGCTTTTGAAGGCGTATCACTTATCTTGCTAACTACAACGGGGGTGTTTGGAGGACCTGCTCCATTCCAACCATTTGTTATCTCTTTTTACATGAAACTCTTGGCCCAGGAAATACAACCGTCGTTTGTGCAATGCCCAGGAAATTGCAAGCCCATCCTTCTTTACCGTTGGATACCTGTGCTCTGACAGTCTTGATGTCCTACCGGCGTATTCAATTGTCCGCCGATTTTGTTTCAGTACTGGCGTCTGTGGTTACATCGGATTTCTCGTTGGCGATCGGCAATTTGGACGTCAGTTCCTGTCCCTCCATCTTCTCTGCATGTCACCAAACCCTCCCTGGGATTCCGTTGTTAGGGTGCATTTCTTGCCATGACGGTTCGTACATGGGCGACACCAAGCTGTTAAAATTCCTGACAAACTATTCGGTGCGGCCAAAAAAACGCGCTATGACTGCGTTTTAAAGTCCGAACTGGGGTGCCTCAAATTGTCAATATTTTCCTCAGCAGCAGCTTGAGCTCACCCTACCCAACCTTTTGACCAGTGTCAAAAAGTTTTCTTGACCTGAGATTTAGGCGCATTTAGTTGTAGTCCTGAACGCCCAATTTGCTGTAACGTTGCTTCCAGAAAACGGCAGTACTCTCTCTTCGATTGACTATACACTACACTATTGTTTCAGTACGCAGCGACGTTTGCCAAGCCATTCAATAGACGTAACATCATGCGTCAGGAGTTGAATAAGACACCAGACAAGCCAAATGTCACCATTATATCATGGCACTGTTTCTCGCCGACTGCAAGTACCATCTTCTCCCGGTTATCTCGATTGATCGCCAGCTGCCAGTAGCCAGATCTCAGATCCAATATCCTAACTATCTTCAACCACTGCGGTCTAAAGGTATTGTTTGCACCGGGAAGAAACTACCCAACGATATTTCATTCAGCCTTCATCAATCCATGCCCACTTCACTAAAACAAGTGGATGATTGTGTAGGCTGTGCGTCTCTTCGATCAAAACTGCGTTCAGTATCTTCTGCACGTGCCTCTTCACCTCAACCTCCAATTTAAGTAGTATCCTCGTGGCCCATGTGGCGGATATCCTTGTCGGGTCAACAGAATGTTGTGCTGGACCTATCCGAAAGATAAATGCCGACTTCCTTCGTCTACAGATACCAGATGGTACTTGCTGATGAGTTAGTGCTGGGCCTTGAGACGGGACAGTTTATCTACGGTCAATGCGCAGTAAGGACACGTTTTTAATCGACAACTACCATTGTTTAAAGCCGTCGTTACCCTTGAGTAATTCAGCCCTGCAGTTTGCTTCCAGCCGGGCGACACGATGGAGACGTGACTCGGCTTTCGTCCCCATCTCCCAACGATGTGCTTCGCCATGCCATTTAAGCATACTTCTTGACCAACTACAGCCCTCAAGAGTACGGAGCACGGTTGTGCTTCCTCACGTCGATAGCTTAATGGGGATATCGCAGCACCCAAACTAATCAGACAAATTCCTATCGTCCAAATTAATTCCAACATCGCTTCATATCACCCCTAATTACACTCACAGTGTAGCCATAGACGGACGAGAGAAAACGGACAAGAACAGAGACGCTTAATTGATATAAAGCTACATAGCGCGCGTCGCCCGGATTCATCAGATCCAGTGTCCCAGTTTTCCGCAAAGGAAGTAACAACAACTAGATTGCTCCTCCGAGCGATTAAGTGTAAGCGCACCGATGTTTTCAGCAAGCTGCTGCGTCATCCACTCCAGTCTACCAAACCGCCAGTCGTCTAGCCCACGATACACCTACGTAAGCCAGTGCACGCACAATCCGGGTAATAAATTTCACAGGCAACTTGGTGAATAGTGCAATAAACTTGGTTGGTTGACCAAGCAAAATGGTTTGTTAATCATTTAAGTTAGTGTGCCATGGATCCAAATGCATGGAGTATATTTCCGCGCTGACATCGTCATGTATCTCCCTCATTGGTCAGCCACCGTGAGACAATTGGGCCAGGGGATGTGGGCATAGAGCAAAATGTAGGCGTGTATGTGGGACAGGGGTGTAGGCTGGACATATTCATGAGCACCTCGTCACTTGCACATGACAGGGTGAGGGTGTTAATGCTTGAGGTCATCAACTGCAGGCTAGGATAGAGCAGGGGTGTGAGCGTTGTTTGCCAGTAGAGCCTGCGTTCGTATTATGTCACGGCCGGCAATCAGTGTCCCTGGTCAGCAGCCCAGGCGCTTGTCCGTCCAGGTCTACCAGCAGTTGTGGGCAGCTAATGAGTTGACCTGGAATCGACCCCTCTACGTTATCGATGCGTCATCTCTTTACAACGAGATCGCAGTGTCACAATCGCCAAGTGGCAATGATGAGGGAGTTCGTATTTTCCGGGTTACGTCAGACAAACGATATCCTCGTCACAAGGCCCACGCATTTCCTAAACTGTTAAAAGTGTTGATGAAACACAAGATTGCGAAGAGCACTTTTCGATAAATCTCATCAGGAGTTTACAAAATGGAAAGGTGAAGCAAGATAGGCTGGAGGAGCGCAATAAAGACGAGCGATTCAGAGCGAGGCAGAAAGTGCGTTGTCTTATTCGATAAATTGGTCGATCCACTCAAGCAGCGGCTACCACAGTATACGTAGGTAGACATAGATACACACACACACACACACACACACACACATGTATGCCCAAGAGACAGGACGTGCTTTTCAACTGATTGGTTGACGCACTCATCACCCGGTGGTTGTCTGTGTGTGGAGTGGAAGCTCCCGGGCAGAAGAAGCGCTTGAATAAGCGCCCTCTGTTTGCATAGTTCAGGTTGTGTAAGCTTGATAGCAATGGCTTCGGCCGTCCTTAACATTCGTTTCATAACCCCTTGGGGTAGCGTTTTGGTACAACATAAAACGAATTGCTACCTATACAACATAAAAGACTTTGAAGGCATCAGTAGCCTTGATTTGATGTCCAATTTTGACCAGATGTTCTAGGATAGAACTCTTGATGCAACCGACAGTACCTTTCTGCAATGCCGTGGGACAGTGCTCCGATATCTGTTTAGACAGAGGCCTAGTCGTATGTCCGACGTACCTCACACCACAGGTCCCCATCATCATTATACACGTTACCTAGAGGTGGGGAACACCTCAGCTACTGTGCCGCAATACAGAGAAAAAAGGAGAAAAAAATGCAACTGGTGCAAGCCGGCAGAGCTACCGGTAACGGATGGGCATCGTTCCGGTAAGCTACCAGCCCGCTACTGTGCATCAAAAATATTACTATGCAAAATTATATGAGTCTAAATAATGAGATCGTGGTTGG